CTAGATGCGCTGATTTAATCAGTACATGTGCTGATTTTTTTCTATTGTACTGATTTTTAAGAGCCCGAAATCAGTACGCAAAATCTACTGANTTGTACTGATTTTTACATTTAACAAATATTTTTGTAAATTGGTGTAATTGACATTTACTTGAGGTCTACATGTTCAAAACAATGGTTTTTGACAACTCATACGTGTGAGCAGATTGAAAGCATTAATTAAACTTGAACCATTATTAAAAAGGTATCAGCTTGCAATTGTTTCGTTTCCTAGGATTTCGCAAAATAACAAACTGTTTGGATTCAACCCAACCTGATTTGCAATCACGATTTTCAGGATTTACAGGAAAAGCTGGTTTCGCCATAAATAAATCTTATAAAAGGTGGTGGTGAGTTAATCATATATTAAGTACACTGAGAAGATGACAATAAGAGATAATCTTTTGATTATAACTAAACATCCACTGAGAAATCGGCTGTCAGTATTTCAAANTGATTTTTGATGTTCGACCACCTGTAATTTTACTTGCACATACACATACCGCTACTGAAATATATAACTGGCGCAGTCGCGGAGTGAACTTAAAAATTTAATAATAAGAGACAAAATTGTTTTATATGGTCACAAGGAATAAGGCAACAACTCAACGAAGTCAACTATTGCTGCTGCTGGGATAAAATAACCCAACAAACTTGTAAATTTTCCAAATATCGGCCAGGAGGACAGAAGGACTGAAGGTTCAAGAAGAACAACATCCAGGACATCCACAACAGGAGCAGAAACAGACGTATGGTAGTATAGTGTTATTGTTTCTTTTTATGTGGATATTATAAATAATTTAAAAATAAAAGGGCTTGTACAGCCTGTAAAATTTAAAGAAAATACCAAAATCCGCGATTCACCACCGAAAGGGCGACCCTCCGGATTTATAAAATAAAAATATCTCTGCGATTCAGCAGCGAAAGGGGGAGCCTCCAGAAAATATTAAAATAAAATTTTTATAAATTTTGAAAAAATTTGGCTACCCTACATATCACTACTAATCTCCTTATATGAATTCGACTAAAGGTAATATATTACAATTAAGAATTTACGATATAAGAAATGCAACTCTGTTGTATGTGATAGCAGCCAGGTTTAAGTAAGAAAGAAAAAATAAATGAGCGGCATTATTGCGCGTTACTTTCAACCGAGCAGTTCAGAGTCGCGAGGATAAAGGCAGCAGCACTGCCCATTACGGCAACACCGAGGGAGCGCTAGCGCTCCATCTAAGCGAGCGTTGGCCGGCAGCAGCGTCGGCGGAGCACCAGGGCTCCCCGCGAAGAGAAAAGTATGCCCCCACATAAAGAAGTGGAATTCTCCATTTCACAATATGCTTGAACAAATCAAATTCGTCAGATGTCACAGTACATTAAGTCATATTGTCACACGCTGTGGTAAAACAATTGATCAAATTCCACATAATGCATTGCAAACCGAGCTAGTAGAATTTGATAGCACAATTTGTAATACTTAAATAAACANCTCCATCTAAGCGAGCGTTGGCCGGCAGCAGCGTCGGCGGAGCACCAGGGCTCCCCGCGAAGAGAAAAGTATGCCCCCACATAAAGAAGTGGAATTCTCCATTTCACAATATGCTTGAACAAATCAAATTCGTCAGATGTCACAGTACATTAAGTCATATTGTCACACGCTGTGGTAAAACAATTGATCAAATTCCACATAATGCATTGCAAACCGAGCTAGTAGAATTTGATAGCACAATTTGTAATACTTAAATAAACACAGGTTATTTGCTCACCACTACTCAAAAAATTCCAAACATCAAGGGTGAAAAAGGTACAGGGACCTTATTGTCATCATTTATGACATCTGATTCAATAGACGCCAGTACAGCTAGCTGTACCCCTGGTCCAGACATTACAATAAATTTTGTTCAATATACTCGTCCATTAATTAATGGTGATGTAAAAATTACATATAGTCATGGTATAGCCCAAGTTGACTTAGAAAGAAAACAAGTAATATTTTCAAATGGAGCACGTTGTAATTATGAATCTCAACATTGTCATCATGCTGATTACGGGTTTTTGTTTTGGGATCTTAAGACTCCTCAATGCGAAGAAGAACATGAAGGCATAAAATCATTAATCTACATTGAAACTGCTTATCAATTTGATTTATTTGAGAATGGAAATCAGGAAACGTTCATTCAAGCTAATTCAGGAGATTATGAATTTCAACTTAAACTGAATCTTTGTGGATTTCAATCGTTTTTGACGGAACACCCCAGACTTTTTGTCACAATTTTGCCCGACACAAATTCCAAATTTCCCCTAAACAAAAAACATAACAACATTGAAGCAAATCTATTGCTTTATATAAACTTAAAATTGTTGTATTCATTAAGACAGACAAAAACTGAAGTAATGAAATTGTTCAAAATTTTCCAGCTTTAAAGGTGTAAAATGCAAAGTAGGATTTCGGAAAATATATAGACCTTAGCATTACTATCTCCCAGGGACTTTGCTTATCAATATTTCTCTTCTCCCGGATATACAGCTGTCACCGGAGGTGAAGTAGTTCATATCGAAAAATGTGAACCAGTGGTAGTTTTGCCTAATCCTGATTTGCCAAACTGTTATGACGAATTACCTGTGATTTATAACAATCAATCATGGTTCTTAGCGCCTAGAGGTAGAATAATGGAGATACTTAAAAAAAAAAATAAAAAAATTAGAAATCTTTATGTTTAGGCCAACGGCCTAAATTTGTCGCAGCATTTTCGACCCACCCTAATGCTTAACATAACTTCATTATTATGTCAACTGTCGAACTGTTTACCACTATGTTACTTATGCTAAAATGTCCCTTCGGTAAATATACAGTTCGACAGGCAACAGTAAGAAGAAATTTAAACCGGTCACTTACTTGTTTTCCGAGAGTGAAGTCAAGAGGACGTGTTCCAGCCACCGTGTTCCCGTATCAATAAAAGGTAACCTGTACAACCAACATATATGCATATATATTAATACCAATTTATCTATTTTTGAATAAACACCAATTTATATTAAATATTAATACAAACGTTTTGCTTTGTTTTTCATTCCAATAAATTAAATCGGCCACAACTTTGTCCAAGCGTTGTGCCGGTTTAACACTATATATAAAATTAAGTGGCAAAACTTCCTGTTCGCATACTCCTCCTAGACGGCTTGCCCGATATCAAAGAAATTTTCAGGGGTGATTGGGGTCTGTGTGGAGGGTGCACATAAAATGAAATTTTCAGAAGTGATTGGGGTCTGTGTGGAGGGTGCACATAAGAAATTTAATGTGTGTATCATTGCACGTTTTGCAATTAATTCTGTTTGGCTTTACGTGTTTTTTTGGATTTTTATTATTGTTTTGCCGCAAGATTTGCAGTCCTGCCTTTTACTAATAAATAAACAGAAACAGCTGGCGAATGTTTACAAT